TTTCAAGATGTTTTTTTTTCTGAAGATTAAATATTAGAAATTCAATAATATTGGCAATGATTTTATTTTAGAATAGAGGTAGAATAGCATATTAAATTTAGTGTAAGAACGACCAAGGTCTTGATTATTGGGTATACTGGTTTATGCGTAATCTGATGCACAACACTATGCTATAATACTAATGATAACTATGGGATTTTAATGCTCTAAAAAATAGCGAAAAATTCTCTAAAAAAAGGCACTATAAAAATGTATTTATTATAGTTTAAAAACAATATTATAAAAATCATGTTACAAAACATATTTAATTTTATTTATTTAACGTAATGATAATGAAATAAGTATGTACCTATTTGTTTAATGTTTAAATTTTATTTAAATTTATTTAAATTTGATCGTCGTTGGACTTTTTCAAATAGAAAAATTTCTTTCGACTATTTTAATTTTATTCAATTTTTGATAAAATATTTATTACATGGGCCGATATGCTCGTATTTATTAGTTTATCAATCTAGCAGATTACAACATATTAAACATGCAACGTTTTTAGCAAACAAACGCCCAAACGTGAGATCAAATATCCTAATATTTAAGAATTAATTGATAAATTCTGAAAAACGCATTAAAAACATGAAAAATGCCATACAAAATATTCCCTAAAAATACATATAAAGTTAAATTTGTCATCAAATGCAAAAACTACAATAAATTAATCAGTATCACTTGACACATTTTCTGCTTACGGACCTACGTGTTAAGTGATTAGAAAAAAAGATGCATTAGCATCAGAATCCTAGCCCTAATGACAACGATCTAATCGACAAAAAAAAAATCTTCATAATTCTTATTGTAAACAATTTTTTTTTTTATTTAATTATAATTAATAAAACTAAGAAAAGTTATGGTTTTAAAGAACAAAAATATTATTTTGATTAATTATAATAATTAATTAAAGAAAACGGTCGACAATTAATGTGATACTGAAATAATGAACTATGAAAAATAATTTTGTGTTAACGCTCATATTGCGGTGTTCATGCATTGAAGAATATTATACGCATAGGTGTTCATAATACTCGCACATTAGGCCATAAGCGTGTGCAGACATAACTGGCAGGGTAGTCAAACATAACACATTATCATTTAATATTAACAAAAAATTTGCATTCGTAACTTCATTTAACTTAATAACTATATTTCTCCAGTATTCTTACATTTTTTTAAACGTTACTAATGTTTCGAAGTGGTTGAAAATAATATGTTTATTTATTATTGTGATCATATTGAATATTTTGGTGAGGGTGGGAAGTTTCACAGAATAGTCAAGTACCTACCCTGACTACCCCATGTGCACGCTTTTGCATTAGGCTAATGCGTCCATATCAATACATCGTTCGCCACAATAGGTTTTTTTTTTTATTTTATTTAGTGTATCTAGTTATCTATCTCGAACAGGAAACTCAAATTTTTTCTTTAATTCAGGCTCAACATTTACAAGTAAAGTTTTTGGTAATATTTAAATCAAGTGAATCCTCAATATTTGTGTTTTTTTTTTTTGTAACATTATGGCGGATCCACTTACAATCGACTTTTATATTCTTTAACGCCTGTCTGTGTTTAGAAAGTTACGCTTGTGTTTTATTTGATTTTACACTGAATATGGACCCGACAAAAGGTCCAATTTATTACTTTCAACATTGACCATCACGGTTACCACTGATCAATGGTACTGATACTGATAAAACATAATAATATATACATTTATATACGCCTTCAATTACTGTATTTCAATATGTTTTTCTGTAATTTTTCTTATCACTCATTCCCAATGGCGTGGAAGACTCGCTAGCGCCTCTAGCAAACTGTACAACAAAAAATGCTTTTTACCCAATTAAAATTTGATGTTACGATATTTTTTTTAACCTTTAATTTCACTAATTTTTTTAAGTATACAATTTATATTTATAAGTTATTATTACAGTGTTAATTTAAAACTTTGAAAATTTGCTTTTCTCGCTTTATGACTAGCATATTCATCAATAATTTCTTCATATGAAATTTTTTATTTAAATGTCCTTGTGCTATTTTCATAATTTCATCATTAAATTCACACGAAGTGTGTACAAGTAGAAAATATCTACATATTTCAAAAAGCATAATTTTTAATTAAAATGTACTAAAATTTCGATTTGATTGTAGGATAAAAATACGAATTTTACACATTTTTGTGCCCCTTTGCAATTTGCGCTCCTAGGGTAAGTACAGTTCATCATATCCTTGTTACGCCACTGCTCATTCGTATTTTATGACAAACATTTTTATAGAGAATCAAAATTGTTAACCAATTCGATTTCGTTATATAACGATACACATTAAAAAAAAATTTAAATGTGCTTCTCAAATATAATAGACTCCTTAATACGGATTCAGGGGAAATCGCCCCCTTCGTTCCCCCTAAAATACGCCCCTGATCTCGAATACATCACACTGCCCCGAGGCCGTTAAACGTCGACCATTTGGTAATACAGCGTATACACTAACATGCACACATACTAATTAAATATTACAGAAATTATATAAAAAGTAGTTCATCAATGAATTAAAATTAAATATCGTTATTTTTTACTACTTTTCGAAAATGGAACATTTTTGTGTTCCGAAGATTCCCCAGGGACAGCGTGTTAAAGATACGAAAAAACAGGACTGTCCCGTTCAAAATGGTCACCTTAGCTATGCGTCGTAACAAGCGAAAACTCGATCACCGTCTAACAATTATTATTTCACAGGGTCACGACGAAAAAACAGCAGATGCGAATCGGAATGCTTAGACCACGTGTACATTGGTGCAGTAGCGCACGCGGGGGGGGGTTAAGGGGTTGTAAACACCCCCCTCCCGAAATTTTCTCCGATGTCTAAGTTAAAATTTACAAATTTTACAAGCTTGAAATATAAAGAGCTAGTATTACTATAGGTACTATATAGTATACTAACCTAGTATCATTGATTATAGAATAGTCTATTCTAATATCAATGCTATTATTTAAGTCAAAATATATTAAGGATTTGCATAATTTTGTTAATTGTAAAATGTGTTATATTTTTACCTTGACCCCCTCCGAAAAAAATTCTTGTGTGCGCCACTGCATTGGTGAGCGGCGAGCGGCGCGTTGGAAAAAAAAAATTTAAACCCATATAATTTAAATTAGAGTGTATACATTAATTACTAGCGGTGAGCGGAAGCGGCGAATGGTAGCGGCGCGACGCGTCACAAATTAAACATGTTTGAATTTCGTCGCTCGCCGCTCATGAAATATTTATTTATTTCAATATTTGTTAGATAATTATTATATTACTTGCTGAATTACCCGGCTTCGGCCGTGTATAATTTTTGTTTTTTTTTTGCATGTCTTACAATATAATATTTTTAGAATTGTACACTTCGTCAACTACGAGTAAAAACCTCGCTGAGTAAAAAAAAAAAAAAAAACACTAAAGTTATAAAAGTTATGATATCTTACAGCTTATATATAAGTAAAAATATCTAAAGTAAAAATAGTTAAAATCGGGTTGTCTAACAAAGTTGAAAGACGATTTACCGACATGATTATAACTTGGAGTATAAAATCGGAATGACACTGAAAATACGATATGCATTTATATCTTACACCTAGACGCTCGGCGCTTGCCGCTCACTGAATTTACATACTTGGCCCAGTGGCGTGCATAGGATTTTTTTCGGGGTGTGGGGAGTCAAGGTACAAATATAACACATTTTACAATTAACAAAATTATGCAAATCCTTAATATACTTTGACTTAAATAATAGCATTGATAATAGAATAGACTATTCTATAATCAATGATACTAGGTATTCAATACTAGCTCTTCTATTTCAAACTCGTAAAATTTGTAAATTTTAACCTAGATATTGGAAAAATTTCGGGGGGGTGGTCAACCCCTTACCCCCCTGCGTGCGCCACTGACTTGGTCGCTCGCCACTCGTTACCGCCGACGCGCCGCTCACCAATGTACACGCAGCTTTACGCGTGGTGTACGGTTTTCTACTGCACTCGTGCGCTAATTGTTCTGGTGTTAACCGATTTTTAATTTTTATTGCACACGGCTTCGGTGTGAGATTAAGTAATAATTACAATAGCAATAATTAATATAACAGAAATAGGATGAAAAATGACAGGATTAGTAGAACGTACAATATCTTGAGGTAGATATAGGTGGAAGGCAGTAAGATATTGTGTATGTAATAGAACGGTCTGTGGTCGTATTCAGAATCTGAATCTGAATATTCAGCTCGCGCATCCAATCTATTGCTTCAGCGTTCCAACTACGAATATTTTTTATTATTATTATTATTATTATTATTATTTTTTTTTTTAATCGATCTCACCGCGTTAGGGGGGACCGATGTTGAACCGTGTGGCGAGCGAAAAAAAATAAATATTTAAAAACCTGCTCTATACAGTTTCATATTGCAACATAACGCAACGTAACGTTATACGTTTATAAATCATAGAGATGCCGAATATGACACGCCGTTCGCGGTCCGTCTTGAATTGAGTTCAATGAACATTTATGTGCTGTACGTGAACGTACATGACGCGACAATGGATTTCTGCTTGAGAGCATTGTGCGTGTCGATTGTATTGCAATGTTTGCGCGATCACCGTCGAACAATAATTTAACCAGATATAGTAAGGGGTGCACTGGTCAGGTGGCAGAGGGACAATCGCCTCCCGGGCCCTCAATAGTGTCATATTGATAAAAATGATATAAACTCGTACACAAAGTGTAATGCACGTTTACCGTTTTTATTTGTATACTTGTATAAGCAGTGACGGCGCGAGGGGGTGGGCAATAGGGGCAGTTGCCCAGTGTCTTAAATTATAATTAAGGCCCCGCGGTTCTGATTTAACTGAACTTCAAATATTTTATTAATATAAATTATAAGACCCAACGTTTATTTTGCCCAAGGCCTCGCAAACTCTAGCACCGTCACTGTATAACACATTATTGTACGCATTGTCATGCATAGGCATGACCTGCGAAATTTGATCAAACATAGGTACATAAACTTTTTTTCTTAGATTCTTATTTCATATTCAAATTTCACATAGAACGCGGTCTGTCGCGGCGGTAAAGATGTAATACGTAATATCGAATTATCTGTCACACAGAGGGCGTTCTGTCGCGGCGGTACAATTTAGATCGCAACGACAGGCGATACCCTTGTACAAAATTACAAAATTCCGCGCGAGCAGCTTTCGATTTGTTGTCATTTATTGTTTTTTTTTATATTCTGTTATATAGTAATTATATTATATTTTTAAAATGGCTGAAGAAACTGAAATGCTCATCGAGCAAGTAAGAATGTATGTGTACTTCATAGCAGTGCTCGACTTGGCAAAAGCAAAGAAGGGGGACTCTACTTTAAAAAAAAAGAACGTCCCCAAAACTGGCTGAGCGTTATGATTATAGCGTAATAATAGTAGGGAGACGCTAAAATTTCTGAAAATTAGTTGGGGTACTCCGTCACCCTTCAAGTCGAACACTGCTTCATAGGCGTGCGCACGGGGCGAGCCCCGGCTCGATCGGAATTTTTTTGGGGGCATAGTAAAATTTAAACCATGGTATAACATGGAATAATATATTTTAATATGTTCGTGGAAATCAATTAATTGTATTTATATCATTTGATTTTAAAGAATTTAAAGTTTCATTTTTAACTTTAAAAGTACAGTTAAGTACGAAGCGCAGTAACTTACTTGGTCCGCGAGCGTCCGACCGTCGTGCTGCCGAATGTGTCTTGCGGACGTATTTACCGCCGCCTTGTGGTCGGTCAGTCGCACGAGTACGCGTCGCCACCGACATAGGGTCCGTGTCGAAGTTTTTCCGCTGCGGACAGTTTTCTTATCGAGTTTTTCACTTACCGTTTGCACAGGGCTCGAACGATTCGTGTTTTGCGTCAGCCACACACACGTCTTGCCCCGTACGAGTGTGCTCCGGCGGAACCTTTGTGCAAAGGCATCCTCCTGAATACGTGTGGTGGACCTTGCGGGTTTCTCCAGTTTTCGAAGACATCTGTTGGTCCTGGAATCGTCGCACGTGCATTGGACACGGTCGCGTGGGTGCAACCAACCAAACTCCAGGCCGATTCAGGCGCGGACCCGAACGTATAGTGACGTTCGGCGTCATTCATTATTTTTTAATCTTGCATTGCGCACTACACTTATTATTATTATTATTATTGTTCTTATTATAATTTGTTTTCGGACTGTAATATGATTGTTATATTTCATTCGATATTTATTGTATAATAATACATATTATTATTCATATGAATGTATGTATGCATTTTTATAACAGCTGTACATTTTTATTTTACATCATTCAAATTTTAAGTAATTAAGGAAACAACTAATTGTATGCTTAGATAACATTTTTTAGACTAGAAAAATATTTATATTAAAAAGCGGAAATTATTTAGTGCTTATAGCGGCACAATGGTATAAATCTGGCCTTAGTATCAGTAGCCGATCTTAGATCGCCGTTTGCATTCGCGATTGCGCAATAGATACCCTACCTTTATACAAATACAATTTATACTAGATAAATGAAAGTTTTGCAAAAAAATTATCAAAAAATTAATAATAGTGATTTTGTCAAGATGATTTATGTTCACAGATATATTTCATTAAACCAAAAATTATTATAATATTAATTAATTTATTTCCATTTATTTACATGTATAAAAGAGAACTTAGTTCAAATTTTATTTCAAAATATATAGTATAAAATTAAAATAAATTAATATTTTATCCGTAATATCTAGTCTATTTACACGAAAAATTAATATATAACTGACTCCATATGATAAAATGATTGTATTTTTAAATAATAATAGCTTTGATTTTCCAAGCAGCAACCAATACTATGTAACTTTAGATAAAAACTACATGTGTTAATTTTTTTTTGTTTAAACAAGTGATTAAATAAAAAAAAATTTTTATTATTAAAAATAATTTCAATATCATTTCACATGGATGATATTTCATTGTACATTAAAATAATATAAATTGAAAAATCAAACCAATTCAGATATTAAAATAAAAACATTATAAACCCATTATAAAGTATGAATTATTAATAAATCCTTGAAATATAAATTAAATATTTGGTAAAATATACATCTAAATTGATATATTTATTTTTTGTTATTATTAACAAAACATTTTTATTTTTTTTTTTTTTTACTTGAATCAGTCATATACCAAAGATTTTATAATCATAATATTATATTATACTGTTAATACAAATAAAATATTATTATAACAATGTAGTTATAACAGTTATTTTATAATGTAAAAAACATGTAAACATTAACTTTTTCACTGTCTGAAATATATACATTTTATAATATATTCTATTTGTCCATTTCAAGAGCAGCGAATTGTTCTTCATCCATTTCAGTTACCATTAAATTACCATCAGGTAATTGTAATACAACTCTGCGTGGACCACCTATTTAAAACCTTTTATTAGTCATTGAATTAAGCATAGAAAAAATACTAAAATAAAATGAAACATGCCTCCAGGAGCTGGCTCTCCAGCATCAATAATTTGGGCGACCAATTGATCTTGATCTTCTTGCATAACTTGAGGTTCTTGTGCATAATTTTCACTTGGTTGTATAACAACTTGGCCACCTTGTTCAGTAGCTGATACTGGTACATATTGACCCGTTTCATTATCTTTTATATACATATTACCTGCATCATCCGTGACCAAGTTTCCTAAATCCAGCTAAAATAAATAAAAAGTTTTTCATAAATTATAAAAAAAAAAAAAATGCAAATATAACTGGGTGTAATGCAATCTAAGGGCTAAAACTCTGTATTAATGCTGTTAATAATTTTTCTAGATTTAAGATAAAAGGTATAGTTCTTCAATTTGACTGATTTCCATGACTCTACTTATATGTATTTTATATCTATCGGTTTCCCAAACACCATATGTTGCCTAAATATTGCATATTTGTTTAACATAATATGACAAAATTAACTTTTTCTTACAAAGAAAAATTAATTGAATTCATAAAAAAATAAAAAAGTTATTTATGAATTATAAAGATAATAATGTACAACAATAAAATTTGGATAAATATTGCCAACAAGAAAAAAAAAAAATTTGGTATGTATAAAATTAAATAATTTAAAGTATTAGACACCTATTAGACAAACAACTTAGATAGAATATCAGTATAAATTTCTGATAAATTATTGAGGGGATGACTATAGGTGCTAATGATTAATCTTCTTCAAATATAAGAATAAAATAATTTTATTATTAATGATACTCATATTATATTTATAAAATAATAAAACACAAAATACATCTTGACGGTAAGAAAACTAAGACAATATAAAAAAAACATGATGTGAACTGAAGCTTTTGGAGTTTATAATTATTGGTTTCAGAAGTATCTTAGAAACAAGGTGATCATCAGCAACTAGTCACTTCTAGGAAACTGTACCTAAAGACTTAATTCAGTGTTTCTTAACCACTGCTTCGGGACAAAATGATGTATTGTGGAATTAGTCCAAGTATGTGGTAATGATATACTAGAAGCAAATTATGAATAGATTGGTATAATGAAATATATTAAGTTTTTTCGTTTAAGACTTATGAATTTAAGAATTCTAATTTCATTTTTTTTATTAAAAAGAAATATTAATATACAAGTAGATATTAAATTGAATAAGATTTTTGTTTGACCTTAACTTTATTTTTAATGTTTTCAATTATGATAATTTAACATGTTTCCATAACACAAACATAAAAAAACACGGACTTCTATTTATTAACAAGTTTAAACTCAAATAATTATTAAAAGTATTATAGCAATATAGTTTTGGCAAAAAGACTAAATATATAATTATATAGTTTATATGTAGAAATAAATCAAATATATGGCCGGGTGTATTGAGATATGTGTATTTTATAATCTGCTTCAAATTAAAAATTCATAATCTGGTAAATTAGTCAAAAAAGACCAAGTTCACATGAGTTTCATTGTTCCCCAGATTTTAACAGATAATTCAATTTAAAAATTAGTTTTTAACTAAGAGCTATGCATACCTGTTGTGGCATTAATTGACCAACAGAATTTCCAAAGTCATCTAACGCTATCATTCCTTCTTGATTTGTATTAGCTTGAATCATACTATTTCCATCTTCTGTAAGAAAAACACATTGCTGCCCATCTGTTTCACCATTTCCAGCCAATAATACTGTACCTCCACTGGCAGCTAATTGTGCAGCAGAAACCTTATAAATATATATAAAAGAAATTAACGAATATTCTTAAACACGACCAATTAACATTTCTATAAATTTATATTTAACAATAAAATTATTTAATTTTCTAGTTTTACCTGATAGAGCATGCCATCATCTCCTGTAATGGTTATCATACTATCTGCTTCTTCAGTAGACAAAATTAAACGCCCAGACTCATCTGTGAGAATGGCAGGCTGTCCTGGAAACTGTTGATTTACCTGTGGTTCCTGTTTTTGTTGTATTTTTCGTGCTGGAACATTTAGTGAACTATGGGGTTTTGAAATTCCAGAACTCACATGTAACGACTTGTTACTAAATAAATTATTAAATATATTAGTAAAGATAAATTATTTTATAAAACAGAAAATATTCATATTAAACAATTCATACCTATTATTTGGCCTTGAATTAGGTTTTTTCATACGTATGCCCGAGTTAGATGCAGCTGGAATGTCTTTATAATTTACAAAACTTTGTCTGGATTGATGATGTATCATTTGGGGAGTACGATTTACTTTTTCAGGTTCACTTATTGATATCATTGAATTTTGATTTCCTAAATTTCCAGTTCCAGGTTCCATCTTCAAAATATAATACATTAATTATATACATAATTACTACATATGAAAAATGAATTTACTTTTATAAGCGTTGGTAAAAGAGAATTATCATTTTGTCTACTCATCATGGATGTATCATTGAGAGTAATCATTGACTTAGGACTTGATGGTGGTGTAGGCTCTGGTGTTTTTTCACCTTCAGCTTTCATTAACCTTTTTCCAGTTGTTGGACAAAGTGTTAATGGTCTATTTGGACTATTAGGTGGAATTGAAACATCTGAAATAACGAATAAAATTTATATTTGGATTGTAAGTGTCATGACAAACTTTTGATGACAAACGTCATGATAATGCTTTAAGTAAAAACCTATTCTTAATTGCGGCTAATAACCGCTGCTGTCGTGACCATTATATTGGATTTTCAAAAGCTATATAACTTACTAAAAATTATTTAAGGATTATTAATTAAATTTCTGAATCAGGATGTAAGTCATCAAAAATCTGTCAAAAAATATTGTGAAAAACTTGTATCAAAAGAAAATTTAAATATTAAGAACCTTCTGATGGGAAATGGTCCGACAGGCCGCCGTCATCAGTGTCGGATGCCGTGTCTTCCCAAAATTCTAACTGCTCTGGGGTGTTATAAGCGTAAGCACCTGGAAAATATTGGCCATGAACAGCAGCGATTAATTTCGCACGTCTTAAGTACTTATTATTTGAGAGAACTGCTATTTATAATAGCTTTTGTTTTTATAAAAAAATATAGTAGGATAATTGATAGTAAAATGTATATAGCATTTTGTTTCTAATTAGATTTAAATGTTATATTTAAAACATAAATTTAAACTTATATTTAAGTTCAATACTACTAAATAAAGACATAGACTGATTAAATCAAAATACAAATGCAATATCCAAAAGAAAATCATAGATAAAATAAATAACACATTAATTGATTAAATCAAATCAATTTTTTTTTTAAATCTTTGCCCATGATTTCATATATATTTTATATAGGACTGTGAAACATTACTTCATTTTTAATTGTATTAATTAGGTAACACTTTAATGTCCTAGATTGGTATACATGAAATGTATTAATTAGCTAAAATGTATTAGAGAATAAATGCCAACTTAAGATAAAAACAGTAATCATATTTAAAATAAATAAAAACAAAAGCAATTACCTAAGATATTTCTTACTTTTAACAAATTAAATAAAAAAAAAGAATAACTTAAAAAAAAAAAAGCAATAAATAAATTAACAGTAAACAGAATTACCTTGTTGTACTCTATTATTCAGAGTACGCCTTGGAACAAATGTCACATTACTATTAGGAGCTTTAATTCCAGAAGATCCTTGTGGTTTCTAAAATAATAATAAAATAAGTTGGCATTAATGAAATTATAAAAAAAAAAAAGTATAGCGAATCTTAAGATTAATACCTGAAGCAAAGTCTTCTCAACCTCTGGATTAGCAGCAGCAACTTTATGCAAAAATGGTCTAGGTTTCACAGCAGCTTGGATTTTTGTGGGCGGAGGGATAAATGGTCTAAAACCATATAAAGAAATATAAATACAGATAACTATTAAATAGTGAAATAATATAATAAGCTTACTTTTTATTAGTATAGGATTTCATTAAGGGAGACGCCTGGTGTACAGTTTCTCTTGCTTTAGCTAGATCAAGAGTTTTTTTTTGCGGTAGAAGTGCTTGAGCTCCATCAGCATAAACTACTTTTCCTTTTTTCGGCTCATCTCGATGTTTCATCATCATCATCATAGTTTGAGTTTTATCACTGTCATTTAATCTGGTAAATCCATCTAAATTAGAAAATAAATAAATACCAGATTGTGGTACTTGATTAGTTTCTAATTTTACAAAGCCTTTCATTGATGCTAAAGTGACCTAAAAATAACCCATTCAAAAATTATTAATAGTTTTAACCTTATTAAAACATTAGAATGCAATAAATATATTACATACTTGTGTTAAATGAGGTGAAATTTGTAATAAACCTAAATCAGAATTTCTATGAACATTATTAAAATGAGACAAATGATTCTTAATCTTTTTAACACGTTCCTCGCGTTTTAACACAGGAAAGATTGATGGTCTAGTGACACTTCTTGAAACATTATATTTAATACGTTCTTCCATTGTCAGTTGACCTATAGTATTAGACATGAGTAAAAAAATATATTACCAACATATTTTAAACATTATGAAGAAAAGAATGTAATAAATGAAATGTTATTTTTTTCAAAAAATTAATAAATATAAATTAAGATCGAATAATAATAGGAATACTAATATTAATTGTTAAAATTTTAATCTATAATAAATATTGATTACATTAATTTTAATAAAAACTATTTTTTATTGGAATTTCCAAGTTATTAAGAATTACAAAAATTAATGACAAAAACTATTGATGATTTAATAAGACAAATTAAATTAATGAGTGTAAATTTAATAAATATAATTTGATCTAAAAAATATCAAGTGATTATTTAAATTAATTAATTAGAAAAAAACAAATAATTTAGTTTATTTTTATTTTTTAACTGTTTTTTATTTTTATTTAAGATTAAAGATATTTCATTACTTTCATTAACTAAAAGTAAACTTTTATACTAATATTTAATATATCACTATTGATTAAGGATATTAAAGAAAATTAATTAGTTTTATAGATCTTTAATTTATCACATACTTACATTTTAATATTAATAATAAAATAAATATAAAAATATCCAAATTAAATAGAATTTCTACTGTATGTATATATTATGTAGTAATGAATTTGGTTTACCTCTAGGAACGATTTTTCCCAAGTTTACATTAGGTTCTACATTTTCATCAACTAATGCATTTGATTTCTGTAAAGACGGATCATCCCACTCTTCGTCCTCAGAATCTTGATGAAAGTATTTTTTCTTTAAAACTGGAACATCTTCATCTTCTTCTTCTTCTTCTAACATAGCATAATCACGTTTTAATATATTTTGTTGAGTTGACTTATTTTCAACTGGTTCTTCATTAGATTTCATGGTACCACACCAATATTTAACTTGATCCATAGCTTTTTGTTTACTGCTTCGTACTGGCCTCCTTTTTAATACAAAAAAATAAAAATACATTTATAACTAAATACAGTAAAATAATAAAAACAATTAAATAAATGACAGATTAAAAAAAAAAAAGAAATTTATATTTTCTAAAAGTTTAATAAATCTGGTATCTAATTAAAACTGAAAAAACAATGTAAACTTATTTAACTAATATGCAATTTTAATCATTACTAGAGAACATAACAAAGTATACTAAAACTTACCCTGCTAATCCAATTTGTTCAACTTGTGATTGAGGGGATATTTTTGGTTTAACTACTCCTCCAATACTTTGAATCTGTTCAATCTTACGTGGGCGTCCAGGTCCAGGTCTTTTCCCAGCAGGAGTTGAAGCTGTACCATTCTTCATTAATGAATCTTCGTATTGTTTTATAAGATGGGTGCATGCAGACATATTGTCAGCAGGTTCCCAGGTATTCTGTTCAGGAGGGTAACCTTCCCATTTCAATAAATATTCAAACACTCTTTTTTTCTGATTAAAACGACGTGCAACAACTCTTTCAACTATAAACTCTTGACCAGAAGGAAATTCACCACTAGGTTTCATAACTACAGGTGGTATATCTTCTACTACATCATTTGCAGAGTTTGAATCAAGCTTGATAATCTAAAATTAACAAAATAAATGTTTTTAAGTATTGTTAAACAATTATTAAATATGCATAAGATATACAGAAAAATAGTGCAGACCTTATTAGGAATATTTTTAGCGAATTCATCATAGGTATGAATAGTTTTTCCAGCTTCGATCCAACAGTCTTTCACACTTTCAGGTAGAGTACACCACATTTGATAAACTTTCCATGCTTCTTGATTTTCCGCTGCAAAATATTATAAATAATGATGAAGCATTTAAAAATGTATAATATTTATGAAATATTTTAAAATGAATTTACCAATGTGTTTAGCTTGAGAATTTTTCCACAACAAAAATCCAAGAATTTTAGGTTTGTTATCCTAAAGTAAAACATTATTATAAAATAAAAACAAATATTAAAAAAAAAAATCATTGAACCAAGAAAAATATTGAATATTTTTAATCACTTTTCCCTTTAGAAGTAATTTAATTATTTGTTAATTAAATTATATGCTATCCATTAATAAATACAATTTTTTATTATTTTTTTTTCAATATATATCATTAAACTAATCTTAAAACTTAAAGTAATATACCAAAAATAATTTACCAAAGTATAGATCAATTATGATAAATTTAAAAATGAAAGAATTATGTTAATAATAAATTATTTTGAGAAAATCTAAATAAAATGTTGTCATAAGTTTTCAATATTTAAAAACAATTATAATTAAGTATAATAAATAATAGATTTCATAGTAATTAATAAGAAATAGTTGACAAGTACCGCAGAATTTTGGTCACGAAATGCAGATATTTTTTTACACGTTCCGCCAACTTTATGTTCTTGAAATTCTTCAATAAAATGAAATCCTACGTGGCATAAACCACATACCAATACATCTACATTGGTAAGTTCTTGTTTCATAGCTATTAAAAATAAAAATGACATTAATATAAATATTAAAGAAATCTGTTGTTTTTAAAACAAATTACCAGTTCCATCTGTTTCAGCTTCATCAACTTTTGTAACTATAGCTTCATCTACTTCTTGGCTCATTTTTACAAAATTTATCTTCACATAGAAACTGAAATCCTATAAAATTTTTTTATAATTTACATTTTATTTTTCAAATTAATTATTTTGCTCTACCATTACATCATAAAATTTAGTTTTCATTTCAATACTATCAAAATGCAATAAAATTATAAACAAAATATTAGCTTGTAAAGTAAAACAATTTATTGGATAATTATCAATTAAGTTGCATACCAGTATCTGCTATTTCATCTTAGTTCAAAATTGAAAAACTTTAATACTTTTAAATAAAAATATTAAAAAATGTATAAACATTTTCAAGTTGATGATAGAAAGTAAAAAATGTTAATGTATTTTATATATTTATAATAAATCAATAATTTTTAGATTTCATAGGTATATAATAAAATTATAAGAAAACAAATGAGTATATTTTGTTATTATAGTTTAAGGTTTCAACACAAAGGTTTAACTAGTATTTCTTAAAACTTTGGTAATTTACAAATACTTTATTTTTAAAATGTTAAGAATTTACATTGAAAATATGTACATTTAATGCATTATACGTTGAGAATATTCAAACAGAATGTAAATTTTACTTTTGAAAATAAAGAAGCAGAGTAACTTATTGAAGTGCTAACATACTGCACAATTTATTTCAATAAAAATTTAGTATAAATTAACTTTATACAATAAGTTATTAAAAATCATAAATGTACTTGGTAAAAATGTTTCAAATTCCAGTATTCAAATTGTTTAAAGATTTAATCCATCATCACATGGATAAAGAGGTAAACAACAGTAAGATTATTTAAAAGCCATACCCATCGTATTTTATATATAAACAAGTTGTAAAAGTCATTTGATTTTCATTAAACTGAAAAATATTCTACAGATTAAACAGCAATATGAAACCATCAACGGTATAATAAAACCTTCATGGGAAACATAATACTGTAAAAATAGATGAGCGTAGCGGGTAAGTAGTGTAAAAAAACTAACCAAACAAAATACGAGTAAATCTATAGTTTTGACAAAAGTTATGCGACACTTTCGAAGGTGTTTACACGGCGATGAGAGTTAGCGCGTAAGGTAGGTGGTTCGTTTATGCCAAATCGACAAAGGGATTGGAGTCCACAACGTTACTAAGCACGTTTACCTGTTAGAAGAACACTTTTGTTGGCACTTTTCTAAACCGATGGTCGAGTTTAAAACAAATAAATGGCGCCACATTTATTACAACAGCATATTGACTGCGACGATGCTGTTGGTAAAATAACAAGCGGCGACACGTTTTAAAATACGCGCAAAAACTCTGTTATCAACGAAAAGCTCGTAAGCTCGGTAAAGAAAAAAAACTACGGCGGCGGCGGTGACGACGACGACGGACAGCGGTAACGACTACCAACAAATTGTATAACCTTAATTTGATCGCACCGAAACCCGAACGAGAGGAAACCTTGTTCTGCGAGAAACGGACCGAACACGAACGAGGAGAAAAGCGCGCACTCACGGGTACGCACGCACGCACACGCACGGACCCAAGCGTCCTTTTTTTTTTCACACCGAATTCAATATATTTCCTCCTACTAATCGCCGCGGAACTATCGTAAGACGGTACGCTCTGCTTAAGTTGGTGCCTACTTGTTCGCGTGCGAGAAAAATTTCGCGGAGAAAAATTATCGAACCGTCGCAGCGGCGTTCGGACGCGCGAATTTCGTACTTACTTATCTTGATGGAAACACGCAATTTTTCCAGATAAAATTTATTCAAAATTCTATTGATGTGATACGAAACCGACGTCAAAATGGTGGACGAGGGCGGTTGCGGTCGTTGTACATAGGTAGCGCCCGAGCACGGAATGCCGTTTGCAACGTTCCGCCGGCTGCGATTGGATGGCGGCAGTCATGTGACCGCTGCATCGATTCCTTGCTACTACCAGCGCCCGCTGCCGTCACCGTCACCGCCGCCACCCCATCAGTGCAACGCGTAACAACGGGGCCGCCTCGACGCACGCACGCACGCGAAGTACACTCACTCACACGTACGCAACGCATCGCCGTACGAACGCTCGCGCTCGCGCACGCACACGCTCGCCGCGTACCATACCGTTTACCGTCCGCAACTCACCCACACCACGAGACGATGCCCACACGGTCACAAATCACAATGCACATGCGTTGCTCTCGGTACGGACTCCCCGTCTCCGCCCGTTCCGTTTTCGTATTATCGCCTGCCGAGTGCGTTGCGTGAGAGTCGTCGACGCCTTTGCGCCGACGACGAATCCGTGTTACACAACACGTTTTTGTTGCTACCGTTTCGTTTTGATTTCGATTTTGTCTTCCGGTATCGCTCGAACTCGGGGCAAACAAAACGCAACAGTTTTCGGAAATACGAAAATAGAAATAAAAATCTGGAATGTTATAGCCTACCCGTGTTTTCCCATGTGTTGTTATCCGTGTACATCGTTAATTTCCTGACAGCGACAGTCCTGTTATATATATATTTCTCTTGATGATTATATTTTTCTAAATTTTCCTATATAATATTTTTCCTGCGTACAATACTCAATGCGTACCACATAATACCTCTCACCACCCGTAAATATTGAGGAGAAAAAACCAATTGAGTTATCGTTGTTTTCAGACGAACTACGTTTTTTTTTAATATCTATATATTACCACAGAATAATAAATGTCATTACCGAGATCACGAGGGTTCCTCCGATAGTCCTAATGAAAAAGTAACCAGCATGCGTTTTACATTAGTTATTCCACACTTTTAACGTGCCCGCATAATACTGTGTGCGACATAACACATTTTACGTAGCATGTAATAATCGTATGCGTTCTGCTGTGCAAGCGGAGTCGTTTTTTTTTATCATTTCAGTCGTGCGTATTTAAAACAATATGCTGATTATAACTCAAGACAAAAACCAAACAACTTGTTGATATCACCACTGAATTCCGTTTTCAACATCTGCATATCTTATGACAATATGGAATATTACCTAATTCTAATTGTAATTTCAACAGTCGGTGTCTGATATTTAAACAGATGCATCGTACATTTAATTCATTCACTCACACACTCATATATACACACACATATGAATATTACATAAAATTAGATAAAAACAAATACATATTTTTTTAAATAAGGTTTTAATAGCTGATTTATAAAATAAAATTACCTCAGACTTGATCAAAGACAACAATAAACAATTTAATAGTTTTTAATCTTTTCAAATGTTCACTTATGAACTTCAAACATTAAAAATAGGACCTAGTCTTGAAATATAAATTGGCATATAATACCTTGAAGACTTAAATATATATTAAAAGAAAGAGATTTATAGTCAAAAGCCTTTACTAATGAATTAAAATTAAACAAAATTTAAAATAAAATAGCAATGTAAAATATATTAAATAATAAAATTATCTCAACTTGTAAAGCATGAACATTAAGTAAGCATTATATTTTGTGAATTAATTAAAGTAAATAAATAAAATGATCATTGTATTGAATTTGTAAACTTTATTTCAAAAATATTTCATTCGATTTAATTTTAGGATTTATCTCCAGATTTTTTCAATTTCTCTGCAACAACTTCCACTCGTGTGTTTAATGATTGCAAATTAGAGTTAATTTTTATCATATTTTCGTTTATATGAGATTCAATAGTTTTAAGAAATGCTCCATTTTTTTCAATATTTTGATAATTTTCTGCGTGTTGGGCATTCAGGTTGCTAATTGTCACAACTAATTTTCCAACTGAAATAAAATATAACCATTACATTTTAAAGGTTGTTTAAACTTAGATAATTTCCTTTTTATTCTAAAATACTCATTATTTATTATGGTACTGTTACAGTACTACAATAATATTAAATATATAAACAATACTTCATTCAAAGGTCATTTAAATTATTAAGTAATATCTTACCTTTTTGGTGCAATGATTCTAATGCTACCATCCTTTGTAGAACATCTGGTAATAAATGTGCTTCTTTTTTAGCTTTAAGAACTGTTTCATAAAGTTCATTTATTTTTTTGTCTTTTTCATTATCTTGACCATCTAATTTTGCAGCTGTTTGTTCAAGTTTAGGTAATAAATTAGAAACTCGAGTATCGACTGCATCTAATTGAGATGAATCTAGAACAGACAGTTGTCCTAATAATAGACGAACTGCTTCAATTAAACCACCATTCTCGCAAATACCTAACCGTTTCTGGAAATATTAAAAAATTTGATTATAATTTATCAATAATAGCAAAATATTTATAAGAGAATTTGTCAAATATATAAACTTAAGGTCAACTATAATTTGTATATTTATACACTGCATACAAATGTAGCAATAAAAAGTAAAGTAGTATACTAGTACCAATAATTATATTATATAAATTATATAATAATTTATATAATCTAAATTCTTAAGGCAATTTAAAATTAATTATTTTTGGACATAACAGTTTGAGTAAATGAGTAAATTTATATGTAAGTAAATAATGCATACTTTTACTTATAAATGTCTTTAGTTTCCAATTTTTACACAGCAGTATTTTCATTTAATTTTGAAGCCTATGCCATCATTCATGCCCTTCAACTTTTTTTTTCTATAAATTCCCAAAAATTTCAAATTGTTTCTGATTCTCAATCATGCCTACTTTCTCTTCAATCAAACCCCTTCAACTCTTCTATTTCTCTACTAATTTCATAATAAAATCTCTAACACGTCAATTTCTCTTATCACATTAAGCCATCGAATTCCTTTGGGTTCGTTGGTTTCCTAGGTAATGATACAGCTGATCAACTAGCCACCTCTACCAAAAACATAATTGTTCCTTCTTCATTAAAAATTAACACTTCTGATTTACTTCACATTATTCACAAAATTCTAAAAAAAGCCTTTGGTCTTCTCTTTCCTTTAATTTCACTACCTGTCACAGATCTATATTACCTTGTATACCTAACTCCCCTTGGTTCCATGATCTGAATCTAACTCAATCCACAATTGTCTCTTTTTCTTGTTTCCCCTATGCATTCTCCACAACCATAAAGTCGTTTATGACCTTCATCACATTCTCTTTTCTTGCCATCATAAATAACTGATAATTTAAAATTAATAAGGGACTTTAAATCAATTATTAAATTTTTTTTTTAATAAACAAGAATCATCAAGATTTCCTAACTTATTTCAATTAACAATAATAAATTTAACATAATTTTAGTTTCAAAATATTAAAAACATGAAATATTATCTTACTAATGATAAAGCACCAGAACCAACTGTTCCTTCTAATTTACGCAAACGTTCTTCCAGTCGAGATATTTGAGACACTTGATCAAGTTGTGCTCTATTAGGTCTTATAAGAGCTTGGAAATTCAATGCCTGAGAAACATTTTCCTTAGTAACTTGTGATTTATCATTAATATCTGGTTGTTTTTTTAACAATTCAGTAACTGTCTCTATGTACTTTCTAAAACATACATAACATTTCATTTAAATTATTAATAAACAGTTAAGAGTGTTATATAAGAGTATCTGTATTTTAAACTTAGGCGCAAGGGGAGTGCATCTGGTGCACGTTCATAAAGCCCCACAGGAGCGGAGCTCTCTATAAAAAAACAAATATATAATTTACAAAAAAAATAATATTGTTTTTCAAACCACAGTTGAAATAATAGTTTTGTAATATTTTGGAGAACAGTGCCAATGTAATGTGTTTTTAAAAATACTGGTTATTGAATTTGATGAATATAATATTTGTTATATTTTTATTAACAGTAGTTGTCACATATTGTTTTATTTAAATTATTTTGCACGGGGCCTTGCAATTTTTATCGCCGGTCATGCTTAAACTTATAGAAACATATTAGAACATGATGGAAAAAAAAATATTACAATATTAACATTAACATATACAAAATAAATATTAATGTAAATTCATTATTATTAAGTAGACTTTATTTTAAAATTTGCTATATCTAAATTTAAACAATTTATATCAATATCATGATAATATATGTTTATGATACAATATTGAATATTTAAAAAAAAATAATTTTTTTAAAAAAATTAAGTTATAATTAAAATGTTAGACTATTGAAAATACATTTTGAAAAATAAATGAATATACCTAAAGTTATTGACAAATTAAATAGAAAATGATCTGAGAATGAATTCAATAAAACTGGATGGAACTGATTCAAGATAGATATGTGGTATGATAATATTATATTAATGGCTACAAAGCATAGTTACAATCATAGAAGAAAAAAAAATAAGTTAAATAAAAATTTACTTTTAAGAATTATTAACCGTTTTTACTTTTTTGTCAACATTTTAAACATATATCTAAGAACAAAGGCCATTAATTTATAAACAAGTCTATTTTTATAATACTTACTGCAAATTATCAATGTCAGACGCTCCTAACATTCCTAATTGTTGTTCTAAAGACTTTTCTACATTCAATGTAGATAATTTTAGTAAAACTGATTGCACTTGAGATCCTATGTTAGCACAGGACTGTTCATCGAGGTCATTTTTATTTTCCTACAACACAAGTGTAATAGATTAATTATAGTTTAGTTTCTGATTAATTTTCGGATGGATTACCACTCAATAATTTAGTCATGATCTTACATAATATGTTCCAACCTATCAACAATCCAACAAAAACAAAATCTAGTACTCCCAATACACCAAATAAAGTTGGTCAACAGTTATATTATAAAAAATATGATCAGCTCAAACAGTTAATCATTTTTTAGTAACAAGTAATAATTAAAGAATTATAAAAAATTAATATTGTTAATAAGTAATTAATATAAAAATTAATTAGACATAAAAAATAAAAATCTTAAGAATTATTGTGTAATATGTGCAAATATTTATGACCAGTTTTAATTTAAAAATTAAATTTTGTATAAAAACAAAATTTTTGATTAATTAAATTTAAATTAACTATATACAATGATCTTAAAAAAAATATTCTAAACCAAATCCATATTGAACAATATAATTTTTGAAAAATGTTATTTGTCAGAATTTTAAACCACTTCTAATAATAAAATAATATATACACATTAATTATTTTTAAATATTAAAACATAAAAATTAACCTGCAACGAATTAATTTCTTGAACCAATTCTTCAGTTTCCAACTTCAATCTATAATATTTTTCTAATGGGGTTTCTTTTTTTCCATGTGCTGCTAATTCCCAATGTTCACTGTTTAAATATTAAAAATTATATTTATAAAAATCAATAAATACAAGAAAAAGAAACTAGTGAATATATACTTTGATTTATATCCAGTTTTTAATGATCTACCCAATTTATCAGAAAAATCAATATTTTCTGAACTTAGAACTTCATCTTTAAATCGTTTAAATGCTTCAGTTGGTTCAACTTTAATGCGACTAATATCTTCATTATCCTTCATTAAAATGAAATTTATTTTTGGTATACACATAATTATATTAAATAAACTTAATTTTTTTTAAAAAAAAAAAATAAAATAAGAAAAATGTATTTAAATTTTACAAATGTACAGACACAATTTTCAAGCATTATTGTAACTTATTTCTGAATGTAGGTAATAAAAAAAAAATATTTCATAAAATTTATTTTAAAATTATAATAATTAATAAAAAAAATTTATTTATTTATTTATTTATATTAAACTTATAAATCTGTATAATATGTTAATACAGTTTATTAGTAAATACATATTAAACATTACCTCTTCTGCATAATCAAGTTGTTGGTCATCTTCAGGCAAATCAAAAGTTTCATAGACATCAGGTTGATCATAAGCCTAAAAAATAAATTAGAATCAAAAAATAACATAAATGATAACATTTTACAACTAAAATGAAGTATTCTAATTAATTAAATACATTGTTATAAGTTGAATGTTAATGTAAAATGAAATAGTATTATACTTCTAATACAAATTTACTGAAATCCATTAAATATTAGTTTAATAAATAATATATTTTATATTATAATTATTAATAATTATTAAAAAACAGCAGAGATATGGTAAAAGATTCTAAATAAGCGCACATATTATAGTTATAATTTAATATAATTTATTTTACAGACACTTTATGTTTGTTTAATATTTATTATTTCAAACAGTACTTATAAATGCATATATATTGTCAAAATCCAAAAATAAACACTTTTAAACTGAAAATTATTTAAAATATATTTATTTTACAAATAAAAAATCACTTTTCAGTACACCTTAATAACAAAATGAAAAATCAATATCACACCAACCCTATTATATAATATATTACAAATACATCAATATCAAAATGTCTACAAATAAATTTTCTAGTGTTTTATTTAAAAAAAAAAAAAAAACAATTAATTGTATATGGACATAAAGCTTAAATTTAAAAATCATTTAGAGATAAATAGTAATCTTTACAAAAAATTACTTACAATTCCTTTTAAATGTGCATATTTAGAATCAACAGCCATTTTTAATTAATCAAAATATTAGAAACAGAGAAATGTATTTACACAAAATATGTTTAAATATATTTTATTATATGGAAGGTAAATTAATCAATGCTATTGAACTTATGAAAGTTACAACCTTTGTTATAATTAAGTGCTCAAATTATCAACACTAGCAAGTATACAATAATTGTGCAGTCGACTTCAAGATACAATCATTAAAAGTTGTTGATAACAATATAAATAGATATCAATGTAATGATAAAACCAGAAGACAGACCGTGCCATCGTAGTCTTAGAACTCTTTGCAGCGCAAAATCTGCATTCTCATTCATTATGTGCCATGTAAATATATTCTTTTAGTTGATATTGATTGGAATATAATCTTAAAATAAATGAGTACAGATTAGTATTTGAAAGAAACGAATTCCATTTAAAAAAAAAAAAAATAAGGAGGATCATGAACTGTTCTGTTTTTTGATGAAATAGGAACGTTTTTCGTTTTTTCAAGTTCCAATTAACACAGATACCTAATTTTTTTTTTTTTATTTATTATTATTACATACACAATCTATACCTAAGGGTACAATAAGAGTTTTTGCTAAGTTAGATTAAATACAAGAATAAGCTTGATAAAAGCAGCCATCCAGGGATGACACTTTTAATTGAGGTTATATTAATTTATACATATATCTATATTTATATTATTCTTTTTTTTTTTTTTTATATTATTTAAAAATCTCTACACCAGTTGCGTTTTAAGCGCCTTGGAGGATTGCCCGGGATATCATTTGATGAAAGACCTTTAATTAGAGGATTAGAATAAGATGCTAGACGGTTGTGGAATCTTTTATAGCAAGTTATTGCTTCTTCTTTTACTATTTTGATTTTAAGGTCTGAGTGAAGGGTATGGTTTGAAACGTAAGGAGGGGAGTTAGTTAATTTCCTTAATGCAATATTTTGAAAAGCCTGTATTCGATTTAAATTTGATTTTATAGCATTTCCCCACAGTTGGAGACCATAAGTCCAAATACCTAATTTAAAGATACCTAATTAAAATTAAAATATATTTTTTCTTAGTAGTGTGTATTGCCAATTTAGTACCTAATCGTTATCGAGTACCGGCTATCGACTTTAATGTTAGGTATTCGTTTATCATTACAATAAAGTAATTTGTCACTTTATTAATCATTTTTTTATAAGTTATAATATAGGTAATATATATTGTAGAAATGTGTATATAAATCATAGAACAAATTTAAATATTTACCAATATATTATATTACAAATATAAATTGTCATCGCGTCTGAAAATAGCATGCACATCGAAAATTTGACAATAAAATCATTTATGATGCTGGTTGGGACTTGGTAGTACCTAACTAATATCTAACTATTTATAATAAATACTTATAAATAAATGTATAATTAAAAAGTTAAGTAAGTATGACATATGAATAAAAAACATTGATGATTAAATAAGAATTTTTATTTTATTTGGAACTAAAAAGGCAGTCGTTAATTTTTCAAAGCAACAAATTCTTTTTTTTGAGCAACAAGTAATTGAACAAGTTCCTTTTTTTAAAAAAAGAACGAGAAGCCGAACAAATTCATTTTTATAAGAAACTGGACATACACTGGTACAGATGAATACTATGAAACACAAGTGTTCTTAAAAAATATATTAAACCATTTAATTTATAATCAATAATATAACAGACCAGAATATAAACTGAACAGGGTTGGTAGTATGAATTTTACAGTAGAAGGTAGGGGAGACGAACTATTAGAAAATAGTGTACCAATGATGCCAAAAAATAATATAAACACTAAAATATCACGGATTACCTGAATTTGCTAACCTAATTAGACAAAGAATATATTTTATTATTATTATTTATTTTTTTATCTAGACCTACGAGTATATTAAGCTTGTATAACTGTTATATAAATTAACTCTTAAAATATTAATTTGAAGTTATAATAATAAAAACTAAATAATAATTTTATGCAAATAAGAAAAGATTCTTTTTAAACTCGGTTATATTTAAATACGTGGCAGCTAACGTATTGATAATCCCTTTGTTTATTCACTAATATTTTTAAAATATAACTTGTTCCTCACGTTTTGAGTTTTAGTAAAGTCCTAGTCTCAACCATGAGTAAAACCATTAGAGATAACTTTTATTATGAAAATAATTGTCCAAACGTACTTAATATTTTTATCATAGTATTGATTTGCAATACAATTTTATAAGCGCAACAGCAGAAATTAATTCATTTTTATGCAGTTTTACATTTTACTAAAAAAGTAAGAAAAAGGAACAAAAAGATACTCATAGTATTGTCAAATCAATCTTTAACAGTAAATCCATTTTATATATACTATGGCGCAAAAGTGATGATACGGAGGGCGATTGACTGAAACTCGTAGGTATAAAATACAAATTTTCGAGGCAACCACAAATCTGAATGGCATAAGTTCAAATTTTTCTTTTAAATGACTCGTATACAATGTTTTTTGTGTACCTATATTGATTTGAGGATTGTTTGAAGGATATGGAGGATAAGGATATATTTATCTTACATAACAATATTGATTTCGATCAATAGGTATGTGAATTAATTTTTAATACATAATAGCTCCTATATTTCTATATTAGTTTTAAAATGTTCATTGTTAAATTTTTAAAAATCTTTTGGCCTTATTCAAAGTTAGAGTTTTAAAGGAGAGATAATTTAAAAAAGAGACCAATTCATATTCGCGTTAATTTTGTAAAAAAAAAATTAATTAATCCTATTCCGTGACTGGCTTGAAGAAAAAAAACCTAATTCTTCCCTCGTTTCTAAATAATGAACATTTTTTTTTATTTAGTAATTTTTGACAACAATGAAATCTAAAACTATAATATTAGGTATTTTGTATGATTAAATTGATTTTCCTCTTCTTCTTTACCTACAATGAAAAAAAGGTTCAGTAGGAATTACAAAAATGAAAAAAAAAAAAAATGTTAACTTTTAAAATAAATTTTGCTTCACATGAAACATTAAAAAGGGGTATATATGCATTAAATTCAATTGCAAAATTAAAAGTATGTATTTTGCCTAGAAAACGGCAAAATATGCAAAAATATACAATTTAAATTTTTGTATTTAAATTTTCATTAATTCATTATGTTTCAAAACAAATTGATATCTTAGTCAGATTACTCTACAATCATAATTAATGAATATGCAAATGCAACAAATCCCGAATAAATCACTTAGGTAAAAATACTATTTAAAATAATATACCTACTAAATCGTGGGTACAACATAAAATTGCACACATTTACTAGAAGTACATATTAAGGACAACTTAACAAAATTAATTCATAGTATTCCATAATAGCTTTCTTATGCCGTTTTTCCACTAAACGAACAAAACAAAAACTCGTGTTGAATAAAACAAAACTGGAACTTTTCGCAAACATATTGAAGACCGACGTGTTTTGCGACAGCTGGAGTTTTGTTTTTCATGTCTCGCTCGGAAGCGGTAACATCAAAAGGTTTCGATGTGCTTTGAAACTCGAGTCTGTTTAATAGAAACGATCGTGTTGTGTCTGTAAACGAATTACGAATTCACGAAATCTGAATACAAATTCTGTACTTAAATACTAGACTAAGTAAGTAAACGAAAGTAATAATGTAATAATATAATAATAATATAATTAATTTAAGTAATTTGGTGAATAGCCAGTGTTGTAAAGAAATTGAGTATTTGAATAAATGTATTCATTATTATATATATATATATATATAAAAATTATTATGTTTAATAATTAAATAATAATAATAATAATAAATAAAAACTCGTAACAACCAGTGGAAAAGGATCGAATACAAAAACCAAACTCGTACAAAATGTAGCCCGTTTGATGGAAACAAAAGTTTTTGTTTTGTTTCAATTTTTGTTTTTGTTTATCAGGTTGTAGAAGACTCAGACACAACATAAACACAACTGTCCGTTTAGTGGAAAACCGGCATTACTTCATCGTACTTTTAATAATAAAAAAATTCCTATGTAATTCATGAAAAAAAGTTTATGTTTTTATCAATTATTAGGTTTCAGGGGTTCTCATAACAAAAATGGCTGTTTAATAAAATATACTTAATTATTCTGAGATTTATTATAATATCAATACCTATGTATAAATTCATTATCGTATTACTTTTATTTTATTTTTTCATAAATCTATTATTTTACTTTTAATTTTAATATTTTATAATTTGTATAAACAATCTGTTATCATTATTATGACGTCATCCAAATAGTAATGTTGTAAACAACAAAAACTGAAAATTGATTAAAAAAATATTAAACTTTATTGAACATGAGTGTAAACGGGTTAGCTTAAGTTTCCTCTTTTTCGTTGTAATGTGTTAGGAATTAAAATTTAATAACAGTGTTAACATTTAATTTTATTTGTATAATATTTTATTAATTCGTTCAAAATGAGTGGTGGACGTCAACGTTCCATGTTCACAGTTCACCCAAATCAACAATCTGAATCAGGTATTCATGGCCAAACATATTTATTAGAAACACTTACCAACTGTACGGATCCTCTAAAGGCTATTGAGGAATTTCAAGTTGACAATGGAATACATTTACCATCTCTTCGTCAAATGTTGCCTTTACTTGATCTTCATGGCATCCGTCGTTTAGATTTTCATAATTCAATATTAGAAGCATTGCGTGATAAATTAGTTGCTCATATCGAAGAAATAGGGAAAAAAGAAGGACGTGATAGAGATCGTAAGCTTAAGGATATGTTAGCTAAAAGTTTCCCTTCAGTTCATGTAAAACAACTCAGACCCATTATAATGGCCATATTGAAAAATATATCTCATATTGATGATAAATACTTAAATGTACTAGTTAAAGACACTGAACTTTATAAAGATACTGACACAGAGGTTAAAAGACAAATTTGGAAAGATAATCAATCATTATTAGTCAATGAAGTATCTCCTTTACTAACACAGTATATTAGAGAAAAAGAAAATATTCTTTTTGATCACAACAATTTGGCAAACTTATTCTTTACTCCTTCGCCAAAATTGAGACGCCAAGGAGAAGTGGTACAAAAACTTGCACATATGATTGGATCTAGTATTAAGTTGTATGATATGGTTTTGCAATTTTTGAGAACATTATTTTTGCGTACTCATAATGTTCATTATTGTACTCTAAGAGCTGAACTTTTAATGGCCTTGCACGATTTGGAAATACAAGATATTATATCTATCGATCCATGCCATAAGTTTACTTGGTGTCTTGATGCTTGCATTCGAGAACGTAATGTTGATGTTAAGCGGTCTCGTGAACTTCAAGGATTTTTGGATAGCATCAAAAGAGGACATGAAACAGTTTTAGGAGATTTGTCTATGACATTATGTGACCCATATGCTATTAATTTTCTAGCCACCTCAACTATTCGAATACTTCATCATTTAATTAATAATGAAAATTTGCCACGGGAAAATCATGTGTTAGTTTTATTGTTGAGAATGTTATCTCTTGGTTTGAGTGCTTGGGTTATGATAGATACCCAAGATTTTAAAGAACCAAAACTTGATAGTCAAGTAGTTACCAAATTCATGCCTGCCCTGATGTCACTCATGGTTGATGATCAGGTTAGAGCGTTAAATACTAAAATGCCACTTGATGAAAGAGAATCTGCTATTACTATTATTGAACATTCCGGACCTGTTCCAGATGCTGTCCAAGCATATATACAAGAGAGTAGTGTTGCATGTACAGTTGCCATGTATTACACATTACATGTTGCTAAAGCTAAAGACAGATTAGCATTAATGAGAATACTAGGATCTTTGGCTAATTGCGATCATGACCGTGCTTTTGAAGATCCATTTCTTCATTTCTTGGTGGCATTATTAATTCAACAAGTTGAAGAATTTGCTGCGGAAGATTTTTGTACTGTAATATTTGATGAATTCTTTTGTACAGGACTAAGTAGAGAAAATGTAGTTAGACATGTATTAAAACTAGTATGGCATGTTTATCCAAAGTTACCACCAAGTAGATTAAGTACATTAACTAAAGTTTTACAACCAAGTTCTACACATGATGAAGCTGTACATAAACTATATACAGATTTTGTAGAAAAAATATCAACTGATACAGAACCACCACCAGAGCCACCAAGTTTTGATTATTTAGAATCACCATTGATGAGTGTACCAACACCATCACATTATTAATATTCTATTATGTATGTATATATTTTTATAGTGATAACAAATTCCTATTGTACAATAAAAGAGATTACCATATTATTTAAATTATTTGTATATTGTATAACCCTTAAACCTTTAATATAAAATGGAAAAAAATAAATAAATAAATACAACTAAATATTATTTAACAGATAGTTATTGGAAGGTTCAAAATTATTTTTATATAAGATGGTAAGCAAATTATTCAATATCCAAAGTAGTTTTATTTTCTTTTGTGTTGAGCTGAACAAGTGAACCATTAGGAGGTCTTTCTTCACCTTTAATCCATTTGGAAAATAATCTGAAAAGTAAAATAAGTAACTTAAACAAATGGTACATTTCTAATATATAAATACCAAACAAAAAATATAGGTATGAATAATATAAATTTATTAATACTTTTTGTTATTATTTAAATATTTTAAAATAATACAAATATTTTTTCTTATGAAAAATAACAAAAATAAAAATAATTTAAAGGAATCACAAAAAATATGTATAATAGATTTTTAAAAAATAATATAAAATAAACACCATGTAAAAATTAAATATTTTAAATATTTTTCACTTACTCTGCTACAAACTCTAATGGTGTCCAAGTTGTGGTATCAGCTTTAGGCATCCATTTACGGTTCATTGGTGTATCAAGAGTAACAGGCAATATTGAAAGAGCCTGAGCTCCTGTTGGTAAACCGCCATTTTCATCAGCCAAAGATTTTGTTAGATGATGTATAGCTGCTTTAGAAAGGCCATAGCCTATCATTCCTGGTGTAGGACCTAGAGCAGCTTTAGCTCCAGTCAATACTATAATGCCTCCAGGTTTTAAGTATTTAGATGCAATAGATGATGCTATAACTGAGCTCCAAACACTTTGTTTTAACATGAGATCGGTATTTTTTACAAAATCTATAAATATAATAATTATTATTTCTGTAAATAAAAGGAAATCTTTCATTTTGAACTAAAAACTATTTTATTTTAATTTAATTTACCTTCAGAACTAGAGCTGCCACCAGCCCATCCTCCAGCAACACATATTACAGCATCTATTTTATCAGATCCTAAAACTGAATCCAGTTCCTTCAAAATATCAGATTCCTTATAAAAAAAAAAAAATTAACTTAATGAAAAATGTAGATGTATTTTTACTGTATTAATTATAAGATAATTATTTAAAAAAAATATATAAAACATTTATTTTATATTTTGTAATAAATAATATTATATACATTTAGATTTAGTAATAGGTAGTTTGAAAAAAATTTAGAAGAGTAAAAAGACATTTTCAGTTTATGTCCAATGTACAAATAAATTTATACCTAAAACCATAATCAATACTCTATTTAATATTGGTTTACACGGAAATAATTGAAGTATGTATACATATTATCAAACACTGATAATCATGAAGCTGAAATTTTAAAAGGAAAAGTTTAAACATGAAAAACATTATTATGTATAAGATATTTATCGGTAAATTCTTTGGTTTTGTTAAAAGAAAAAAAAGAATATTAATTATTATTTTATTACTCAAGCATAATTTAGCTTAAATAATTTGATATAAAGTAAAATATGTATTGTCTTCTCTATATATTTAGGGTAATATCTAATACATATATAATTTAATTACTTGTTCTAATAATGAAGCATCACGTTTGACAATCACATTGGCGTTAGCATTATCATTCTGTTGTAAATCAATTGATCCAACCCACTGAAAATAAAAATATAAATAAATTATATAATTTTTATGACTGAAATACTGCATAAATTATCTTTCAATTGTATGTAATTTAATAAATATCTATAGTATTTAAAATATACAAATTAATAATTAAAAAAAAAATAAATAATTTTAGACATAAAATATCTAAATATTATATAATATTAATACATATTTCTGTTACCATTAATTAAAACTATATGATTTAAATCTGATACTTTGTTCAATATAAAATTTATTTTTATTATGATACATTATATCAATTTTATAATTAATAAATAGGATATAATTACTGATCAATTATTAAATATAATTAATGTATTACATAAATAAATTTGAATTTTTATAATTAAAAGTAATATGCATTCTCTATATATTTTAAAATATTTATAAGACCATGTTTAATTATTTTACAATTCAAAATATTTTAGCATTACACAAAAATAGAAATTCAATTTATTCAATAAAATTAATGTGATTGAAAATATATACAAAAATTAAATAATTATAAAAAATAAAATAAAAATACAATATATTTAATATGTGTGTTGTTATTATTTTAATTCACTTAATAATTTAAGTTAAATTAAAAATAATTTGGATATCATTGGTACATACATTACATTAAATTTCATCAGAAAATAATTTATAATTACTAATACATCTATGCACAGCAATAATCTATTGGTTTATAGCAATAATTGAGTTAAATACCCAAGAAGACATATTATACACCAACATAATTATATAATATGCTATGTAAATGGGTTATATTAAACTGTTATCATTAGAGTTAAAAATTCAGTAGTAAAATTATATTGAAATATTTAAGATATAGGTATAATGTATAATTTTCATTTATTTTTTACCATAAACTAACTTTAATTGTTTTTTTGCATTTCAGATAAAAATAATATTACTATAATTATAAATTAGGTTTTATTATAACGTATAGTAACTTGTAATTAGCCAAATAGGTAGTAATTTAGGATTATTTAAATTATTTAAACTATATATTATTTATACTTTGCAGTTGAATTTTAGAACTGATGTTAATACTTGATTACTTGAATTATATTGATTAATATTGTTAACAATATTTTGAAAACTAGATTTGTTTTTAAAATAAAATAAAATAAGTAATTTTAAATAAATCTTAAACTTTAATCTCTAAAATATGTGTCTAATGCGGAGAAAAATAATATGTTAATTTATTGCAAACATCAATTCAACATATTAGTATAGATGCTTTGAATATCATAATATATCATTCTAAAGTAGACAACTGGTATATCCATTGGATAATTATTTATAAAAGATTATAAATAAAATTATGGAAAAAGCCAAGATTATATTTGTATAGGCAGGTATTGAGATGACCTCGGATTGTAAAAGTATTATAACGGTCCACTGTTGCCAAATAGCGGCCAGCTCGACACAAGACGGAAATACTTTCATAAAAACATGTGTAAGACGCCGGTCACTGGTATAGTAGAACCCCATTCATATATTTGTTAGCAAGTCACAACCGCAGCCACGGTTCATGAACTGCATGGGTACACGAAAATCGGTACTTACGTATTTTTGAGCCGACAGGAACGATATACATGTCGAACCCAAAGCTCCTTTTCCTCCGTATACCAAAACTTTACCGACAGACATCGTAGCAGTGTATGGGCGGCTTATCAACGGTTCGTCCGTCGACTTATAGTGTACCTGGTAACCTTTAAATATAAGACGACGTGAGAAAATAACATTATTTTTAATTCATTACAACGTAATGAATGATGCTGCTTCGTCTTAGCCAAACCGAATCGCCGTACCTGTGGTAAGCTGGTGAGAGTGGCTGACAAGAACAACCGTCCGCCGCGAACGTGATGATGAAACTCGAATGTGGTAAACCTTGCGCTGCTCAAACGACCGCGACGGGCAACATAGAAAGGAACGCGCAGGAGACGATGAAACGACTGACGGTCCGGCAGCGCCCAACCCACCACCGGGTGTCCGTAAGGCGTTAACGTAATAACAGAATTATTTGAAATTCGCAAGGCTAAACGCGGGAGGTAGCTGCCGTCGCTACACGACGCATTCATGTGCACTGATAACATGCCTCGATATAAAAAATTAACTAATTATTATACACGCTCTGTAGGTGCATTTTATTGTATAATAATAACAGTGCAGTTTCGTGTTGTACACTATGTGTTAATATTATCGTCGGTGTCCAGTAGATGTAGATCGAACGATTTCAATCGCGTGAAGCTCACGAAAACAGCAATAATTGGTTTGATAAAATTTTAAAAAAAATCCGTCCGTTTTGTAGTCATAAATTAGAGTACCTACATAATACTTATTGGCTATTAAGATTGTTAATATCACGTAGGTGTTCTAGGTATTCTATCGCCATTCAAACCGAATTCGATTTTGAAACATTGCACCATTCGATTTATAAACCCAATTTTTGATTACCACAAACTGTATAGAGTTGACGGCGTCGTCATTTCAGAAAAAAATAAAAATAGTAATGTCTGTTATGTATATATACAGTTATAATTTGGTATATACTTTATTCATTGTATTGTTTGTTATTAATATTATTGGTATTAATATTTGGAATTTAAAAAATTGTGTAACAGAAAAGTGGTATTCAAAATATATGTAAGGTTGGTGGGGGAGAGGTGGAGCCCACGTGTCTGTGTTAAATAATTGCGCACGTGGAACACAGTTTTTAAATCGTTGGATTAAGCTTCTTTTCTTAATTTTTCCCAATCCGACCACAATATTTTGTTTCGTATACTCATAGAATATTATTAAGTATTATTTGATTTTAGATCCTGTTAGGGAAAAACAAAGGAATCCCAACTCTGTCGGATAAATAGCTGATCAGAAACCTAGGCCACTAGTTGGGTATGATCACTCTGGGAAAAAATAAACTGCTACCGAAGGAAGACATCAACTTGAAGCATCTGCTGACCGAATCGTACGAGAAAGGCGGCGAGAAATTGATGTTCGCTGTATAGTTCACGAGTAAAGTACTCGAATCTTGCTCGGGGAGAAGGTTCGACATGAAAAATACCTGGACGATTTCTATGATGAACAGTTTGTTCGAACTTTACGAGAAACTGGATGTGAAGCTGCAAGTGCGAACTGAAATCAAAATGCTGTGTAAAAAATTAAACATCAGACTTGAGTTTAATCAATAACACAAATTATACCGAAGAATATTTGAAAATAACTACAGTTGTGTCAACGATGAAAATCTGATGGACGTTCTGTCCATTAAAATATTTATATATATATATACTTATATGATATAAGACGTAAATTCTTTGATAATAAATGATTTAAATATAAATCACATTGCAGACATTTTAACAATACAATTAGGAAAGTAATAAATATCACAAACTACAATATAATAGGCATTTTATACATATACATTTTTTTTTTTTAATTTTTTATTAAGAAAGACAATTTACAATGTGTACACAATAATTACAATAAGCAAATTAGATAAAATAAAAAGAACAAAGTAACATGAATATCGTGTTGAGGAAGAAACCCAATGGTAATACCTCTTTTACTAATTTAATAGGTCTACACCATTTACGTTTTAGTCTGCGTGGCGGGTTTTTTGGGAGGGTAAGGGAGGAAATGTTTGATATTAATGTATTGCTATGCGTGTTTAAATTTTGGCGGAAACGTTTATACGTTGTTTTGGCTAATTCAAGAGTAGTTATTATTTTTAAGTCATTGTGCAAGGTAGTTTAAAACGTACCAGGGGGCTTTGGTTATTAACCTTAGCGTAATTGATTGAAAAACCTGAATTGGTCTGATGATTGAGAGCTTTGCTGGACCTTAGATTGCTATTCCATAAGACCGGACTGGTCTTATGATTGACTTATATATAATACGTTTGTTTTGAAGTGTTATTTTGGAGCAGTGGCGTAACCAGAACTTTTAATGTACGTGGCTAAATAATCCAACAGGCCCTTAATTTTACAAATTTGGAAAAAGGAGTTATAATGAATTGCCTACAAAAAATAACCACCTACAAAATTCTGCCCTTTAAAGTTACAAACGATTAAAAACATGTTTAGTGTAATATTATTTTTATAATTTTAAAAACTTTACATTGAAAACTAAAGTGCAAATAAAATTACAATTTTCAATTTGTTTTTTAATCCCTTCAGCTTCATTTCGTACATTTAACTTCGAGCTGCAAAGTATAAATTTTGTAAGCTTTTTGAATTTCAACAAATCTAATTTTAAGCGCAAAAACTGCATCATAACGACCAGCTATATATATAACCAGTGCTCGGGACTTATAGCACATAAAATCATTAAAATAAGCGCTAAAAAACATAATTATAAGCAATAAAATAAGCATTTAAAAATTTTAAAATCAAGCAAAAATATTTATTCAAAAAAAAAAAAAAAAAACTATAAAATTCTAACTAAAAAATCAAATCAAATAAAAATAAATCTTCTCTTTCAAGACTTTAAGGATTTTGTAGATTTTCTAAGGGTTTTATCTGAAAAATAAAATGTAAACTGTTCTTTCTGTTTTTGATCATTTTGACGTTTAATACTCAGTTCTATTTTCAGCGTTTTATATTTTATTTTATATATTTTATATATACAAAAATGCTTCGGACGGCGACAAACTACGCGACAACGTAGATAAGAAGAATTATTTTTATTTTTAATGTTATCAAAAACGACTTTGCTGAAGAAAACTATAAAAACATTGAAAAAAAAACTGGTCAAATAAGCAAAAATAATCAGAAAAACTGAAATAACTTGATATACACTTCTATAGCACTCTGCTACATTTTAAGTCAATCCATAAAAATAAGCAAATGCTTTAATTCCCGAGCCCTGTATATAACTATAATGGTGATTTGTTTTTGAATTTGCTATAATTATTCTTGATAGGCCCTCTAAATTCGTGGCCCGTGGCCCATTTCCCGTCATGCCACTTTACCGGTACGCCACTGTTTTGGAGTTTAGGAGTGGTCGGAGGAGGTGAAGTCTGTTGTTCGATGATTTTCTTTTTTCTTTTAGGTGGGGGCCCCAGGTTAGTATTTTATCAAGTGTTATGCCTAAGTACTTGATTTTGATTTGGACAGGGATGGGGGCGTTGTTTATAATTAATTGAGGGCACTCACAGGGAGATTGTTTTAAAGTGAAAGTAACTTGCACAGATTTTTCTGTATTCATTTTTATTTTCCATTTTTTGGCCCATTCTTCAATTTTATTAGCATGATCCTGGAGTTCAGCTGAAGCTAGGATAGGATTTGGACTATAGGAAAGAATAGCTGTGTCATCAGCGTATGTTGCTAAAAGGGTGATACTAGATTGAGGGATGTCTGCTGTGAATATATTATATATATCAGGGAATAGATCACTACCCTGTGGAACTCAAGCATATATTGGGTGAGTAGATGAAATATTGTTACCCTGTCGTACGACAAACGAACGATTTTGTAGGTAAGATTTGATAATAAGATAGTAGGGAGCTGGCATGAAAAGTTTTAATTTGTATAGTAAGCCATCGTGATAGACTTTATCGAATGCTTGAGCAATATCTAAAAAAAGTCCGGAACAGTATTCTTTATTTTCGAGAGCAGTTGAGATTTCATCAATAAGACGATGAACTTAATAGATTTTTGAATGCCTGTTTCGAAAACATACACACTTATGTCATAAATATTTTTTTCACGTGAACGTGAACGTAAAGCACTTTACATTATATACAGTAGATATAATAGATACCATAGATAATATAAGTATATTCTTATATTATCTATAGGTCATACTGCAGTAGAGCTGTCGTTATGAATTAGTGTCGTTATATACTCTCCTTATCTGAATACAACATAAACTATCTACCAACATTGCCAGACGCTAGAGATAACAATATTTGGCAATAAATCACTATGTAAAGATCTCATTGTTGTTCATCCGTACAATAAACATTACTATTAAAACAGTGTTTTTAGATTTTAAGTATCTTAATCATTTTGTTAACTAATTGTAAATAAATGAGCTACCGAAAATATTTACTTAATATCAGTATTTATTTATATATATTTGTAATGAGTTAGCTTGTTAAAAATATTTTATTTAAATATTGTATTTGCCTTCATAAAGAAGTAACTTGTGCTAACTTTTACGAATTATTTCTAATGAATATTTACACAGGTAAAAGTTCAAAAAATTAATTTATTTAAGTAAATGTTATAGTATATTACTTTTTATGTCTTTTAAAATTTGGTATTCAGTAAATGTTATTTTAATATATCATTGAAACAAGTATATTATTATATTATGTATTTGCGCCAATACTATGTTAATGGATAATACTACGAAAATTAATCTACTTTATTGATTTTAGACTTTATCATTTTAGCAAATGACTACTTTGAATAACATTTTAAGATAAATACTTTAAGTAGTTATCATTTTACTAATTTTGACTAATTTTAAGTATTTTTTTGCTTTATAAAACATGTTTTATTATATAAGATTGTCTTGGTTTATGGTAGGAGGAAGAATTTATTCTATTTCAAGTAGGTATTAGAAATTAAGTAATTTTCTGTAAGCTTTTTTGTTAATAATTTTTTATAATTGGACAACTTCATTTTTTTATCTTATTACTACTTACACATAATACAAATAAAAAATAGAATACATAAAAAGTATCTAAAAAGTGTTAATAAAATATATTTTATATATATATTTGTTTACTAATACTTATAATTTTTATTTTATTATCCTTAATTCTTCTAAATCTCTTAATTCAATTTTATTCATCCTAAATAATTAATTAATAGTAGGATGTTAAATATTAATTTAATTTTTAGAACTGATAAAACAAATTTATTTTACATAATTATGTTATTTATGATAGTAAATGATATAAGTACATTTTAAATGAATATAACTAGGGAACGGATTTATATGCACTAAGGATCATCAAAATATGCTCCCAAAAATATTGTAATATGCTTCAAAATATACACTTAATATTAAATCAAAATTTTTTTTTTTTTAAATAATGTAAAAATTTCACAAATATTGTAACACAAAATTGAACGATTGGCTTTAAAAATATCTATATGATCATTTATGTATGTATGTAAACTACTCCTAATTAATGTTTTTACTTTAGGTATTTTAAAGTTACGAACGAATAATAAAAAAAAATTTCTTGGAACAAAAACTACAACAGTTTTATTTATAAAAATATACACACAAATGCACACACTGACTGATTGGTTTACATAATTTCATCAAGTTCATGTGTATTAACTCTATTATATGAATTTATTTATATTAATATCATATGTATATACTCGTATGTTGCATACGAGTATGTCATTTTATTATTGGCTATATATCTTACGTATGTTATAAGAACAAATTCTTCAATATTATTGTATATTTATAGGACTCCATAAGAAAAAAATAATTCAATCACCAAAAATCTTAATAAAAATGTGACTATTTTAACAACCAAAATACCTTGGATTATGCTATAAACTGCATATAAAATGATTATTAATTATACTATATAAATAATAATAAATATTGTTAAATATATCAATAAATCTGACTTACATAACATATTCATGGATACATAAAAATATTTAATTAACAAAATGTTCTTACTAAAATAGTATTGATACTACTGTATTTTATATTTTAATGTTTATTTAATATATTAAATTATTGCTTGTAAATAAAAATACTTTATAATAAATAATATTAAACATTAATATTTGTATAAGTATTAAAATTTTATTATATTATTATTGATAAGTGTGTCTCTAGTGATACCTATTTATGTGTTTGAAATTATGCTCTAACAATTATTAGTTCTAATCTAAGAATAAAACAGTTTTATAAAACATAGTAATATTTTTCAGATTATTCACAAAAATGCCCAGATTGCCGCAAAAGTTTTTATTCTGCTACATCCTTATTAGTTCATTTTTTTAGTCATGTCAGTGAAAAACAGGTTGGAAATACTATTAATAATGAAAATAGTTCTGTTCATAGTAAAAAAACTGAAGATAATAGAAATAATGGATCTTCCAAACTATTAAATTTTACAAAAGATGAAACTTTTAATCCTTGGAAATATTGTCTGGCCACTTATGAAGAAAATATTGATAACTCAATAAAACCACTTAAAAAAATTAAAGTACATAAGAAAAAAAAAGAAAAAGATAAGACTTTTGAATGTAGTTTATGCAAAAAAAAATTTGGATGGCCAACTGACCTTAAAAGGCATTTATTAATACACACAGGTATTACATTTTGTTCGTAATTATGTTGATGGTAATTTATTTTAAGTATTATAATTGTGTAATATTAAATTTCTGTAGTAAAAGTTAAACAACTATAATTTACATAATCTCAATAAATGTTTTAAATGTCAAATACTGATTACTTGTCATTTAAAGAATTTGTATATTGTAGAGACTAAACTATATACTTTTTCGTGTATATTGTTATATTATAAAATAGGATTTATTAATTAAGATTAATAAGGATTAGTTAATTAGATCCTTAATTAGGATTTTGTCATACTTCCCTTTCAAACGTTAACAGTAATGAGTAACACAGTTAAAATAGTTGGAATTTTAGATTTTGCTGATGATATATTTTGGAATTTTAAAAATATGTAAAATAATTTAATAAAAATATAAAATAAAAAACAAATACCACAATACAGAGAATAGAACCACAACACACTTTTTAATTTTGTACTACACTCAATTTTAGTCCTTGGCATATTGTATAATCTATACCTAGTGAATAAAAGATTTTGATGCAAACTAATTTCACACAACTATTAAATTAAAATATTGGTTTTGATTTTAATTATTTATTTTAATTATATTATAACATACCAATTTTATTTTATAGAACAAAAAAAAAAAATAAATATTGTAAAAATATAATGAATTAATTTAATTCAATTGTTATTTGTTTATTAAAAGGAGAAAGGCCATTTAAATGTAACTCATGTCAAGCAGCATTTACAAGAAATTTTTTACTTCAAAAACATTTTGTTCGGGCTCATAAAAGGGTATCTGAAGATGAATCCAAAAAATTAGATAACCATGTACATGCCAATGTTGCTGAAATAAAATTAAAAATGAAGGAACTAGAGTGCCAAAAGGAACATAGTAAGTCTGTTCCTGACAGTAATGATCATTAACAGTTTTTTGATTTATATGAACTATTTCTCCTCTATAACTATGATTGTTACCAAAAAACTTATTCATAGTACAAATACTAAAGGAACTACTTATTTTTAGTAGTATTATCAGTCACTATATTTTTCCTAGAAAATTGAATTAATGTGATAAAATTAAATTTATTAACTAAAAGTAATTTTGTTGTAAAATTTGCCCATACTTATTTCAAATTTGTGAAAGTAATTTTGAAAGTAGTGATGTAACTTAATTGTCTTAAATGTCAAGTTGATCACTTGTCATGGTTCATAGCTATTGTAGTCTGTAAACTATAATGGCTAGTTGAAATGATTAAATATATTTTAGTTCCTGAAATTTATAATTTAATATTCTAAGTAGATTATTATCCCTTCTGCTAAAATTTAATTTAACAATTTTCTGAAAATAAAAATCTGTTTTCCTATGAATTTTAAATTATAATATAAATCTTAAATAGAAAATTTTTATGATTTTTATTTGTAATAAAAGTATTTACAGTACAAAATAAAACTAATAAAAATATCATAAAAATTTACTTTAATACTAAAAAACTTATAACTTATATTCATAAATCCAATTGAATTACTTCTTATTATTATTTGTTACAAAATATACTTATTATTTCATAGTTTCATCAGAAATATTTGTTAGTTACACATTTCTTTCATTTCTTTCTATGCTTTGAGTATTCTTTTCTATTAAAATTAAATTTTTTTCTTTAAAAATTTAAATAATATTGCTATTTATGGTGTTTGATTCATGGTATTTATTTTTATTTGTAGCGTACTAGTCTGATCTGTTATTAATTTGTTATATTCATATTAAAATAAATAATAATATATTCTGTGCAATACCTTTAGTAATTTAGTTTATTTAATATATTTAATATATTATATATATATAATTATAAGTATTAGTGTCTCTAATACCGAATAATACTTTTAAATTAATCATAATTTTTTAGTTATGTCATTATTACATATTAAAAATAATGTTGGTATCTGTAAATGTTTCATGCTGTTTACTAAGTGAAATATTCATAACATAAATATTTACTGTATTATGTAAATGTTCTTGATATTTTTTTAATGTATAAGTTATTTATTGGATAAATTAGTTTAAATGAAAATAATTAATTTTTATACATTTATTTTTCCTTTACATTGATTTTAACTATTTAGTAAATTAAATACTATTCTTTAATTATATGGAAGTGAAGTCGCTAACAGATGTCCTAGAAATTGTGAACAGTAGGTATGCAGTTTAAAACATCTTTCAGTTGACTGACAAATTTGTGGTTTTCCATTTTTAACAAGATTCATTGCAAATGTATACTCTTGGGAAACAATAACACAGCGATCTGTTGAAGGAACCGTCAATTGTTGGATGTTGCTGATCTGTTGGGTTAAAATAATGGATCCCAACTGAACTAACAGTGTTCCATTGCAATATGACAACAGTGATATTACCATTTAGGAACAGATTAAATATTGTATCTAGTCTTAATTTTAACAAAATTTACCATATACATTAAGTATAATTAACGTTAACATATGACAATAAAAAAAAACCAATGACAATAATTTTTGTTTGTAACTTATGTAAATAAAGACTTTATTAAATAAAAATATATGTATAATTAATTATTTATAACACAACTTGTTGTAAAACAAGTTAACATACTAAAATGGTAAATAATATTATTTAAGGTACATTGGTATTTGGCATTTGAGCAAAAGGCGGAGGTATTTACCTTTCTAACAAATTAGTAAAACTACTATAATAAATACATTTTAGTATATAAGGTTTTGTAGGAAATATTATGATTACATATTAACCTCCCATAGTTTTAAATTATTATCCATAACTTCATGGAACCAAGCTCGTTTTTTAATGTCCTTGAAAGCTGGCGCTAATGTTTTTAAGTCAAGTTTTAATAATGCTTCGTTGCCTAACATTCCATTCAGTTCACTTAACAATTTTGTATCTCCGTGCAATTTCAGTAAGGAGACAAAAGTAAAGAAATAAAATTTTACTCTTAGTCTATGTTGTACCCAATTTTCAACAGTTTTATTTCCACTAGCTGATTGTATTTTACCCACGTGTTCTGCGTACCACGGTGAGAAGTATCCTGTTAACTCTTGATTAGAGATCTGTGACACGCCTTTTGATTTTAAACGTTCTTTAATTAGCTTGTAAGCCTTTGGAGCATATACATACACCTAAACATGTACATAATAAAAATATATTAGTAACTTATTCTTACCAATTTAATTAAATATTATAAGTGAAGCTAACATAATTTCCATATTTAAATTAATGCACTTATAATGAATTGATTTTTGAAGAAAAAAATATATATTAGGAGTTTAACTTTTTGTTCTCTTTAAAATAATTTTCATTGGAATACCTACAAAGTAGAAACTTATTGATTCATTTTCAAAATAATTTTTAGCAAAAAGTCTCCACTAAAAAACTATTATAATTTTTTAGTATTGTTGTGTGTATTTAAATCTTAAAAGTGTTTATTATTAAGGAAAAAACGAACGATATATAGTTATTTCATAGGTAATTAATTTTTTTGAAGTTTATAAAACTTGCTCGTATACAGATTAATGTAAAAAATATTTTTCGTTTGACTGAAAACGCCGTGTACTTTTACAATTAGTCGTTTTGACTCTTGGAAAACATTTAAATATTATGTCACACCATAGCGTGTGAATGATATTATAATCGAACTATTTGGTAATAAGTTTTAATTTCTAATTATAAATTAACTGCATACAAAACAATGGGTTGTACTTGCCTGATAAAGAGAATTGCCAGTGACATATGACGTCACATAATGAGATCCAAAACTCCTGACAAATTCAATGACCGACAAACTATCGCCGACATTAACAGAGGCCACCTGTTTGGCCACTGGTTCGTGAAGGTCAGTGCTCTCCATATCCATTGCTAAATTAGCAGTCTCCCTATGCCTAGCCACCCTGACGAGGACATAACAATGATCACCGCTTACATAAGACATGTCTAAACCTGTTGTGAAAAAATGCATCGGTAATGTAATATATTAATAACGTATTGTCGTTTTAAGAAAACGTACACAATAATCGTACGTATTGTAATAAATTTTTACACAAACAACTGCACTCCGGTGTGCCGTTTAATGAACAGTGATTCGTGAGTATTTATGCCTAGGTACATAATAGCTGCAGTATTATACTCAGGGGTAACTAATTTACCGACTATGAACACATTAATTGCGTACTTATATTAATGAAATAATTATTATTCGACTAACCTAAATTTCTAGCCAACGTTAATTTCGACCAACTGCCCGTAAAGGCCTGCCACGGCTTGTCCAGTCTTTCTACGGAAAAATCTCTAAAATAGGCTTGCAATAACTGTTTTACGTTATCACAGAATTCCATGTGAAAGTCCCCTTGAAAAACTTGACCTCCTCCGATACTTCTCTTGAGACTATACAGTATAGGATGAATATTCGATTTTAATCAGTACCTATATTATATGTATATAATACAACAGGTAGACAAGCGTTACAGTGCAACAGGTGTACCTATTTAGTGTCTCTACGCGCATCTACCCGTGAATGTATTACTATTATTATTATAGTATTTTACCTTTGTTTTTCGACCACATTCGTAAACACGTCAACTGTGGGCTCTCTGAATATCCACGAATGGTCCGTGTCGTTCCTGGGGACTACTCTCATGCTTATGCTAAAGTACCCATAACGGTTGAACACGTTGATGGCGTTACCCACTCTGATGTCCGCGTGAGCTGCCTTCTGTTGAAGTCTTAACGCGTAGAGAACGAAAACTATCAACGCCTTAGTCCCATCGATGCCCATCGCTCGAACTGAGAATATAATAATAATAACAAATATTATTGTACAACCATGATGGTTACTTTACAATAGAATAACATCGTGTTGAGTAATATATTGTGTACGCTAAATCATTCATTTATTTTTTTCGCTATATCACACTTGCGCGTTTCATACGCGTTTTGAAACATTTTGACTTATCGAAATACTAATTAAATGTTAATATCGGCTGCTGTGACGGTTAAATTATCAACGAGTGTGCACGTGCAGCGTATTGTTATTATAATCGACCGGTTTAGTGAAAATTAATGTACACATATGTATCTATTTATTTATATATGTATTTCATATTCATATCATCGATATGTTTTACTTGAGATCTGCAAATGTGATTTAAACATGAATAAATATTAATATTTTGAATCTGTTCGTAAGCGCACTCGGTCATCGCACGATATAAGATTTATTATTAAGGAACATGAAACTTTGGGTAAATGTCTCGATAAAATAGTATGTCGAATGGTATCCTTCCTTTTTCATGACGATTAGGGCCGTATTTGGGAATCTGTTGCCTCAGGTGAAATAAAAATATATATTAAAATTAACAGACAGAGAAAATAAAAAATTTGCTACCTTTTTAAAATCTGCCATCGAGCCCCTTATACCCCTTGTACTAACCTTAAATAAGACCATTATCGCAAAAAATAATACGTATGACCAAAAATAACGAACGACATAATATTATATAATGTACGATACAAGTGTACATAATAACATCGCTGGAGTTTATAGCAGGGCAATTAACTTACTGTTGATTTCGTTGATTCAGTGGCACATGGGACTTATTTTTTGCGAGGAGCGAAAATATTACGAGATACACCCCTACTCCTCCACCTTATCTATCCTAACGGGATTCAATAATTACAATTAAATATGCTTGTTATGGATCCTAGGGGAGGTGGTAGGGGAAGCCGCTCCCCCCGTTGGTCATACTAATGGTAATATATTTAGTTTTTATTTTTGTAACATTTTGTAAACATTTTATAAAATATTGTTGGTAGTGACAACGTCAAAGATTCTGTATTATTATTATATCATGCACGTATAAGCAATCGTGGTTTTTAGAATTAGTTTTAGAAACCAATCAGCAACCAATAATTGTGTTTTTCTAATATTGTATTGTAACTGACCGACGATGATCGTTTGCATCGAAAGACTGATTTTGGCTTACTAATTTATTACTAAGTCGTCTTAATTAACAGGTTTTTTGCTGTAGAATGTATGAAATAAGTTACATAAGTAAGACGTATATTTGTATACGTAGTATATTTCTGTTTTCTATGATATATCTAGTCACCTAGGTGGCTAGATATTTTGTGGTAGGGGACCACCCACCCACTAACGATTTTTAAGGAGCAATTGCTCCAAAATAACACCATCACGTCACCGCGTTGATTCATTTAACTTTAAAATAATTTATTACTTTGTTATGACAAATGTTTAAACTCTTTAATTTTTGTAATTGATTGATATTGTATACTGTAGCTGCAGGCGGCTGTTATATAGCTGTAGTTATACTGCAGTTTGCTGATTTACCGTTAAGTGGAAAAACAAATAATTAATAAATACAATGTATATGTAGGTAGGTACTTGATTATAATTCATAAAAGTATTCAAAACTGGAAAGCCAGAAATTTTATTGCTGTATTCGACTACTTTCACATTTGTTTTATTGTATCGGTACTACTCGTCAGTGATGAAAAACTGATTTAGATTCGTGTATACGTGATAACAGGGTAAAATATAATACTGATTTTTTCAGCTAAAAATTATGCAAACAAACAACATTCTATTATGTATTTTATTGTTATTAATAATTATATAGTTTTGTATACATTATGTGTATTATACATACAGTATAACCTCGATTATTCGGATTAATGGTAGAGAAGAGTAACACGGATAAATAAAAAAACTTGTTTTCAATCCAGATATTTTATTAAACGAATCATGAAAAAATGTATGATGTTGTATGGATATTAAGTGTGTACAATGTTATTTTCTTAATGACTATTTTCGAAACGGCTATAGCAAATGCTAAAAATACACTAAATACTATGGAACAAATTCGACAGAATTGAAAATTTCCTTTATGTATTAGTAATAACGTCATTGGGTAAATATGAATGTTGAAAAACCTCTAGTAAGTCTTTATTAATCTTAAATGATTCTTATCTACCTGTGACATATATGGCCATATTTTTATCGTCGAAAAAGTTAATTTTTTTTTGATAATAAGTACGTAATAAAAAATACGATATAAAAATACATACGTCCGACCTAATAAAATTTTTTTAAACGAAAAATTTTAAACGATAATTTTGGAGAGTGAGCACGGTTAATCGTGAACACGGATAATCGATACACAGTCGAGATTCCACAGTGTATATATATTTATTTTATTGACGATGATATGTATATATAATACACGGTAAACTAGTAATTGGTATTATTTTATAGTAGGTACTACTTATACCTGCACTTAGCTCTCTATATAGTTATTAACTATACTGACAATACTATTCTCATTAAAAAGTGTACTACTTAAAAATATGGCAATTATTTTTGAAACTACGACGGCTGTTTAACTCGATATGTTAGTACAACTTTATTGTTTATATTTTGACATTCTATAATATATTTGTGAAGTTTCGATGATGTATTTGCTAATACATGGTAGCGCACTGAACTGTACATGCATATTTTTTCTCTTATAAAAAAACAATGTAATGAGTTTAAATGCTTGAATATATTCAATAATGTTATAAAGTCAATATCAAATGATGGATATATTATATTTTAATGAATCGAAAATGAAAAACAATTTAATTAAATATGTAAGCTGTGTTACGCAATTTCGGCCAGTCAAAATTGTCTATTGAAAATAATAACTTGTAATAAACAAATTTGTATTCATAATGATATTTTTCACGCTGGAGAACTTTTATAATATTGTATTAATAAATCTGAACATTAGGATAATTGATTTAAATTAAGTCAATGATCACATTAATAAAAACTAATAAAAATATGTGTAACCTATTCATACGTTTTTGTTGATTATTATCGACGAATTAGCATAGATATGAAAATATGTGCATTGTACTAACACACATACACACACACACACCTTTACGCAATCACTACAATCAGTTAATTTGATGTATGGTTGAAAAGACGTTCGGTTGCAAAACGAATAAATATATTCAAAGATAAACTTGAAAAAAGAGATCCAGTGCCCCACTGCCTACATCTTCTTCTTCTTGTCGTATCGGTCTTCATATTCCCTTCGCTCCCCAGTAAGCCGCAATTTGTATTGCTTTGTCTGAAAGCACATGCCACTGCCACATGCCCACTGCCTACATAGAACCTCCAATCAAAATAATAATTACGATTTCTGTTACACGTGTACAAAATATGTAATTATTAAAATTATTGTAATATCTGTATTAGTGCACTTGACTTAGTAATTCTAAAATTTGTACTTTTTTTTCGCTAGACTTACTTTGGCGATAGGTCTTATTAAAATTGTCCGCATGATTACCCGGATCATATTGTTTCACAATCTATTTTCTATAGAACGGTGATGTTTTACAAGTTAATATATATATATACAAGTAAATATAAATTTAGTAAAAATTTGAATCAATCAGCATATGCCGGATAAATTTGAAGAGCCGACTTTGGTAGGGAGATGACTTTTCAGTACTCTTTAATATAGCATTAGAAAAGGTAGCCAAGAAAAGTAAATCGGCAAGATGGATTACTCCCGGAAGATTACAGAAGACAATGCGGAATCTCAGCGTACGGAGATGTTATTATCATATTGGGATCATCAAATATTTAGGATTATCATTTTGTAGATAATCAAGAAGTAAAAATGGGCACCAAGGAATTAATAATAAATAGCAAAGATTTCGGACTACGAATAAGCGAATCATAGACCAAATATATGGTAATTTCTAGTCGAGAAAATTGTGGGGACCATTTAGAAGTCGCGAATTATAAATTTGAAATATATTTCTATCTATCGTATTTTTAAATACAATAAATAAACTACAGTTAATAGCAACAATGATTATCAAGAAGAAATTAAAATATAAGAACAAATTCAGGAAATAAATGTTATTATGGATTAATGAATATCCTCATATCAATACAGGTATCAATTAAATTGAAAACTACAATATACAAGGTTTGTGTTGCGATAAATGGCCCCAACGGCCTTTAAAAATCGATTGTGGTGATGATCATATATATATATTTATATGTATATTAATTTAAATCATAGGTTCGATCTGATTATTTACTAATTATAAACGATAAGCTAAATATTGCAATAAAACGTAAGGATTAATCTGCAGTTTTAATCGGTGACCAACAAATACATGTATGTAATAATAGAAAGACGCGAAATAAGTAAATATGTACAATATTATTAACTTATGTTAAAGTAAAAAAAAAAAATATTCGTACTGCAATTTTTCATGGCTAATACATGTTAACTCATACATAACTCATATTTTAAGTACATATTTATTAAAATTAAATAGGTTAGATTTTTAAATTACAAATAAGTACTGTGCGAAGAACCAGTGTAATCGACACATTGCGTAAATTGCATACATTTTATAAAGGAGATCAACTAAAAAAAACATCACAAAAGAAATATTTTGAAGGGTAAGGGTTTGTATATGAAGGTGAAGTATTATAATGATGGTGTGTGTACATAATATTTGATCGAGCGTAACTTGCATCGAAATGTGGTGTGCAGCAGCGTGCTTCACAAAACTAAAATCATTAAAAAAAAACGACCACATGCCTATCATAAAATAAAACGGAAACGTTTCTCGATTAATACGTGGATCCGAATATATTAAATATTATATTCTATCCAAATTCAATGCCAGTTTTATGAAACTGTCCATAATTACATAGTAGTGTATACGATAATCTGTAAAATAATATCTAA